GATCGTAGCGAGCTGCTTCCGCCCGCCGGGAGCGCGCCCAGGGCCCATTTTTGGGATGGGGTTTCGTCTGGCAGCAAAACGCCACCCCCCCACCCCACCGATCGAGCCCTAACGAGGAAATTCCGCCCCCAAGCCCGCGTTTGCTCGTCCGGGTTCCCGTCACCTACCTGGAACCAGATGGCATTGACAACCTTGCTGAGCACGAAGAGGGGAAGGACCCAGAGGGCGCTGAAAATGGAGGTGAGGATGAACTCCAGCCACGACCAGACGTCGCCGTGCAGGGAAGGGTCACCTTCGAAAAGACGGGGCAGGGAGAAGAAGCCCCTCAGGAAACTCCCCGTTTCGCATCACAAACGTCGAGGACAGGAGAGATCTCCCCCCCCCCAGCCTTTGCTTTTCCACCAAACAAGTAATGACGGCCCCGATTAGCGCGGGGGAGGAAGAGGAAAACAAGGCAAGGGGCCGGCGGCGCGAGGAAGAGCCCGACGGGACAAAGCCACGGCAGCTCGTGGCCGGGGCCGCCCCCCCCACCCCGCCCCCCCCCCCCGATCCCACGGCGCCCCCCCACACAGGAACGGGAAGGGTGCTTACCGATGATCTGTGCCGTGACCGACTGAAGGACAGGTATAAAGACTCGGTAAAACAAGAAGAGACTAAGCTACGGGGAAAAAGAAACAAGAAGGGTTCTCGGTGAGGCGCTGCAGGGCCGTTTCTTGTGCTCCTGTAAGCACCGACCCGAGGGCAGACCCTCCGCCCGCTCCCCCACGCGGCGGTCCATAAACGCAGCGGGTGTCTTTTTTTAAAACCCAGCCAAAAACCTACGGCTGAGCACTTCCCTTCCAACGTTTCCACGCCGGCTCCTCGTACCCGGCCGCAGCCTAGCGGAAAAACGGAGCCGGCGATTTATTAGGCCGCGGAGCGGCTGCCCCGTTAAGGATTTCAGCCCCACGAAACAGCCGCGGCGAGGTCAGAGCTGAGGAAACGCCTTTAAGATCTCAACGTTGGGTTCGGTAAAGCCATACCCCAGGCCGCAAGGGAGCGGGAGCCGAAGGTTTGGGCGAAGAGCGGCCTCAAAGACTGGGAAAAGCAGCTGGGGTTTAACGGGCGGGTTTCCCAAGCGAGCCTACGGTCCGACCTCCCGTCTCGGGTCCCTTGAAATACGGCACCGGGAAGTCGGTGGCTCCCATCAGGTTCCCGCGGCCCAGCCGACGGCTCACCACCGACGGCGTACGAGGGCTGGGGCGGGGCGCCGGCTTTCCCGGGGTTTTTTAAAGACGGACAATAAGGAAAACACCCACTTACCCAGAACACCCCTCCGTTCCAGGCACAACACTGAAATATCCGGCTCACGATCCGGGGTTCACTGCAGAGAGATGGGCGAGACGCGTTAAGGTCCCAGCGCCCGGACTAAACGTCCCCGAACAAGCGACAACCGCTTCCGTCCCACATTTTGGACACCTTAGAAGCGTGGCGGGCAACCAGCTGAACGCCAGCGACGCACCCGATTTTGTCGGGACACGGGAATCCTGGAAGGAATCCCCGCACGGACTCGCGCCGGGCTCCAGCCGGCGCACAGTCCGTAGAAGGTTTACATCAGGGAGGCTCTTCCAACCTTTATTAATTCCCCGTATCTGCACTGAAACGGAAGAAAAGCAAAGCTTTCTTCCAGATTTCCAATCATTTGTTAGAGGTGTCGGGCTTTGTTCTCCTCGAACTCTTGCCACAATGAAATTAGGGCTTTTCGGGTGCTTTTTTGTGCCGGGAAGAGGCTGTTTCAGCTCGGGGTGGTTGTGGCTTCTCTCTCCTTTGCAGCGTTATCTACGGACGCGCAAGAGAGCGGCTCTGTGGGACCCTGCAGCACTTTTCCAGTCAGCTTCTGCTACCAAAGGCACTTCGTTACAATATATATATCATTCCTCAAGGGCAGCCCATCTGCAGGAACCTCTGCGGTCTGGGGAGGATCGGGATGACGGGACACGGGAGACCTTCCCACCATCTCGAGATAAAGTCAGACCACCGCCAAGCTCGTCAGAGTTAATTTGTAAATACGCCTCGAAAGGCGTATTGCCGACCAAACGTCGCCGCGCTAAGCGCCAGCCCGACTGTAATTAGGGCAGCCGGAGAAGCACCTCAGCGCGGTTTGGGAGTCAGACACAAGAACAGATGCTGTTTTGCTCCCACGCGGAGGCAATTCTGGCATTCCCAGCCTTAGTGGATGCAACCGCCGCAGACGGCTGCAGAACACGGCAAGCGCTGGGGTGGGGAGGGGGGGGAAAACCATACTCGGATCTGCCCCGGCCGTGTAAATCGGACCCCAGCTGCCGTTTCTTCCCCGATCCCACGACTGCCAACACCACCACCGTGTCTCTGAGAGACAGCACGAGTATTCAGGAAGGAAAGAAGCCCAGAAATCCACCTTCTTTCAGCTTGCGTAGCTCCATACCTTCTGTTATCGTTTCAAACTAACGGCACGCTCTTAATTGTCAAACGTCGTCGAAGGTCTGACTTCCTCCCTCACGATCGCAGTTCCAGTTTCATTACACAGAGCGGCGAAAGGGCGTTTCACGCCACCTTTTTGGTATTTCTTGGCTCCGTCCTTCAGTGCAATCGGGTTTACGAACCATTTGCTAACGTACACCGCCAAGTTCTGCTCCTGCCGACGCCCAGGCGGCAGGTCACCGACCGTTCTGACAAGCATTTCTGGGGAGATCTTCGCAAGCGCGGGCGACAATAATGGCTTTATTTCTCGAACCCCGCTTACCTCAACTTCCCTTTTAGCCAGACCACCGCGATACGACGGATATTTAGGAGGAAAAAAAAAAAAAACAAGCACAAGCACTGCCAAATCACTGCGACTTGCGGAGGTTTTGCAGTTCATCGGGCTCCTCAAAGCTCCGGGCAGAGTCGCCCTCTCTCCCCCCCGCCCTCAACAGACTAAAAGAAGCGAAGCGAATTACCCGACCGACGACTCATCGGGCCCCGTACTCACTTCTCTTGCTTCTTCTCTTCCATGTGAAACCTCCGCTGGGCGAGCGCGCTGTTTGCTCTCCTTCGCTTCTGCTCCTCCCTTTTCTGCTGGATCCGGGCGTCCAGCTTAGAGATGGTGCAGATGCCCCAGATGGAGTCCTTAATTCCCTGCGGACACGAGGAGAGGCCGTCACACTCCACCCCACCCCGGAGGGAAGAGGAACGGGATGCGGCCGACCCAGGCCATGGAAAACCTCCCGGTTACGGAAAGGGACTTAAAAGGTGGCCAGCCTCGCTCCCCGGCTAGCGGGGGAAGCCAGCGCCAGGCCCAGCCGGAGCCAAGGTCCGGAGCAGCAACACTGACTGTTTTCCGCAGCCCGGTGACCTAAATCACCGCACGTTCCAGCATCTTTAGGAGCAGCGGGGGGGTTTTGTGGTTTATTTTTTTTTTTAAAGGTGTGATTTCTCATCCAATCTCCGCTATTTATAACCCTTGGCAAAAGCCGAAGTGTCAGACCCCTCGCAGCCCGTCTCTTCTGTCTGGCAGAAAGCCCTTCATCCCCTGCCAGCGCTTCTAAGGCCAATAAAACAGAATCATACAAAATGTTTAGGGTGCGCGACGTCCTTGTGGCCTGACCGTATGTACGAGCTTGATGCTTACTCCTTTACAAATAAAAGCATCTGCCCTCGTCCCAGAAACATCCTCGCATCAGTCGCGTCCGTGCAAACCCGCTTCATTTAAAAGGCTCCTAATGCCACCTCCTAGTACTCCGCGAGCAGCGATTTCCAGCTCCAGAAATATCTCGTAGCCATCGTTACCGGAATTTCACTTCAAAATAAAGACCGTGAGGACGCTAGCGTGAGCCAGGACAGCGTCGCTACCCAGGTGACCCACACGACAGTTCGGTATACGGAGTTTTTCACCAAAGAGGATAAATTTTGACGCCAAACGCGTGTCTGAAACGGCAGAGCACAACGCTGCCGGTACCTAATGAGGTGGAAATTAATTAGACGGGCCGCCCCACCCACTGCTTCACAGCAAGTCCTCCCGCTTCAGATCGCAGCCAGCGCGCCACAGATCTTTAAGATCAAACCCAACAAGTTTTTCAGGACAAGTTATTTCTGAAAACAAGTTATTTCTTAGCGTCATGTCACGGATGTTTTTGAGCCTGTATTTACAGCTGGCTGACACAAGACAGCGTGGGAGCACCGAGTCCACACGAAGCCTCATCGCCGTGACACAACCGTGATGTTCACACGGGCTATAATTTAACTCTTGCCCAAAGGAAATCCGTCACAGGGTCAGCAGCGCCCCGGACGAACGCCGAGCCCTTTGCGACAGAGACGCGGCACAACGGCCAGCTCGGGAGGAAATTATTCTGGAAAACACTTGGGGAGCGACGCATCCCGCGCAGCCGCGTCAAATCTAGCCGTCATCGGCAAGCGGAAAGCTTGCCTACAGGTATCTCTGCTTCACAAAACTGACGTCTTCCATTAAGGCACACCCGGAGCCCCTTTTCCTTCACATTTTTCAATCCGCCCTTGAGGAGGTAGGAAGGAGGGTTCTCCCCGCGGAAGACCCACCGTCACCGAAGCAAACGAGACCGGTCCCTACGACAGAGGGCCCGAAACGTGGAGACTTACCCTGACGAGGTCATGAAGGAAGGTTTTCACGCTGTCTGCCATCTTGACTCCAGCATCACCTCTGGTTCCGAAACTATCAACTACAGGGAGAGGGGAAAAGCCGAACCCAAACCTCTCTCATCCTGGAGAGATGGGAAACGGATGGAGCCTGCGGAGAGAGAAAACACCGGACCGCGGCAGGCATTAACAGCGTCGGTCTGAGCCGGGTAGTTACAAGCTAAATCACACCCCGGCGATTTTCAACAGGCTTCCCTGCCCTCGCTGGCTTCCCATCGGGCAACCATCCTCAGGCACACGGCCCGAGAAAGGACCCGGCCTGTTAATTCCACGGTATCTCGCATTAACGAATTCGGGGTTTCAGGAACAGCAGAGCCTGTATTTCTAGGCAGCAGGACATCTCTCCGAACAACATGCTGTGCCGCTCATTTTCAGAAGAGAAAAGCCAGCAGAGCCAGCCCAGGGAGGTGTGAAAACATCTTTGCTAAACCCAACGTCAATTTAAGACCTTACAGCTCCACGCCTCCTCTTCCTCGCGCGCCGGGTAAGAAACTCGAGGTCTACGATTAGGAGCCTGACAAAACGAGGGCTGCTCTTGAGCTGTCCCGTAAGCTTTTGCCCAAAGCAGTAATTACTCCAGACAGCCCTTTGCCAAAAACCTTGTGCTAAGTCTTCTGCTTCTTGTAAAGCGCCACAGAAATACAGACAGCGTCTGAATTAAGGGCGGGGGGGGGAAATCACCAGCTAATAAAACTCGTGGAGCTTTTCCACCAGGATTCAAACCGCTCTTTTTCTCCTAGGCAGGAGCTACCGGCAGCTCTGGAGCAGGCTGGGGTCTCCAGCCCCAACATGTCAGCGTTGCTGTTCCTCCGTAACACGCAGCGCAGGATGCAAACAATTAAAAATAATTGACAAAAAAAAAAAAAAAAAGGTTTTTACTTTGGTTATTCCGAGACAAAACCTGCCAGGGTTTGAACCGCGCGCCTGCGAAGCGGCGAATGCCAGTTTGGATGAGACTGCGGAAGCAGAACTGGCCTCCAGCTTTGTTGACATCAAGTCAATCGCAGGCACCTTCACCCTAAAAACGAGCCTTGGAAGCGGGCAGGCTCAGCCCCGCGCACGGCGTCGGGGTCTTTTCGCTTTAGCCGGGCGTCCGAGGCATCCCAGGTCCGGGTCGCGCGGGCAGAGCCGCGGCAGAAACAAAAGGCAAAAACAAGCGTTTTCTTTGTTCCAGGCGGCCGCGCCTCGCCACCCTTCGGGCTCGGAAACGCACGCGTTAAATCCGGCGAGACCCAACCGC